GGTGAGCATGAAGACGAAGGGCGACTGTTGACGGTGAGCACGAAGACGAAGGGCGACGGCGATGAGACGAAGGCCGTGAAGGATGAAGACGATGAGAAGGAGGAGACGGCGGTGAGAAGGAGAAGACGATGAGAAGGAGGAAGCGATGAGAAGGAGAAGACGATGAAATCCACGGGAATGGATTTCAAATCCCGTGTAAGGGTGAAGGATTCTCAAATCCAGTGTTGATGGGATTTCAAATGAATCCCGGGATTTGAAATCCGACCATTTCTACAAACCAAACGTAGGATTGGAATGGATTTCAAATCCAAATCCCTCCAAATCCCTCAAACCAAACGCGCCCTTAGAGTTGTGCTATAACAATAATACCATCTTTAAAAGAATGTTACGGACTAAAATTTAAAGTTCATTTAAAAAAAAAGGCAAATGTGTGTGGAAAGCTCGAGAACTTCTCGGTGTTATAAAGTATTATATAAATGTTTGATTAATATTAGTAGTTTGTTTAATTAAAAGTTACGGTACTAAATGAAATCTCATATAAGATTATAAAATTATGATGTTATTTTTGTAACAAATTTAATAGAAATCTCATTTAAAGTTACGAAAAGAAAATGTTCTATAATATTTCAAGTGAAAATTAGAGGAGTGCGTAAGTTGTAGCATCAATAGTGAAAGTTCAAGGCGATGCATGAAGAACCAAATCACCAAGCTTAGATAATGGATTTTTTCTCATAAAAAAATAAAATTAATATCAAGTGGGGTATATGACCAACATATCATATATTAAACTGATAAAAACAAATACAATATTTTATCGTAACATTCTATAATATTTAAATTGTATTAGAGGAGTGTGTCAAACGTTGATAGTAGTAACACTAAGACGACAGATGAACAACTACATCACCAAATAGTATAATGGGCATTCTCATATAAAAATAAAATACCAAGCAAGTTGAAAACACATATATTATATATTAAACTAAGAACATATAATATACTTGATCTAAATAATAATAAAAAACCTAAGATTCGAGATAGATATATTAAACTAAAAACATATACTTACATATATTTACCTTTGTCTTCGAATATATCACATTCTCATGAATTTGTGGCAATACCTTAACATGTAACTTCTTCACATATAGGTTTATTTTATTTTATTTTACTTATAATCATATAATCAAATTTAGTTAATATAAAAAGGTTATTGAAGATTCATTTTTAATTATAACAAACTAAAAAACAACCAATAAATATTCGTTATATCATATAAGATATATCCTAAAGTCAAATTGTTGATCCTCTCTCTCAGTGATTTGTTGATAAT